AGAAATAGAGATCGTGACACTGAGGGTTGATGATTCCTCGGACAAGCGTTCGTTCTGCTGCGCGACTATTATTTTCCTTTCACCTTTGTTCTATCTTTTTATTTTCTTCATTATTTTTTACATATATCCAATTCTTCCTTCTTACAAATTTTTGCACTTTATTTTCTATAATTTTAAATTATGATTGTCTGTAAATTTCGTAACTTTCCCTTTTTGGCCGTGACCACTCTGATCTTCTTTCCAGCATTGGATAAAAGTTCCATATTTTGATTTTTGAGTCCATTGATATAGAAAATGTATAAACAACCCTAATTTTACTAGATATTACTTCAAATATCATTCATTTATGTATTTAGTTGTTATATATTTTTAAAACATTCAAATATATATTCTATAAATTTTCCAAAGAAAGAAAGAAAAGGAGAAGCACATTGACCAGTCTCAATCTATAAGAGGACTTTTGGCAAAACCAAAATAAAATTAAAGCTTTTTAGTAAAAATTTCAAATTGATTATTAACCCATGGCAAATGCATATTTTACCAACCTCTAGAGACAAGTCTGGAAGCACATATTTATGTGTTATTGTCATGAAGTTTATCAAAAAATCTATCTGATCAATATGTAGATCGTTTGTGTTTGACGTTGGTGTGGAAAAAGTTGTTAATACCACGGAAGTTCTACATTGTTTAAAGTTTAGGATCAATGGAGTTTTAGTTGGGGCTCATTAGTTTTGAAGAATTTCAATACAAGAAATATTGTTTCTTCCAATGACAACTTTAGTCAAAAATTCGTCGGAAATTGTATTTTTGACGTGTTTCCGATTGAAGTGAAGTCGTTGAAAAACGCTGGTCGGAAACAACATATGTTCCAGTTGGTCAAACGATGGTCGGAAAAATTTCTGACGACTTTTTCCGATCAATTTCTAACGAAGTATGGTTTATCGGATTTTTTCTATAATTTCGACGATTTTTTGACCAAAGTTCTGACTAGTTACAGTAATAGAAAAAAAGGTAGAGGAAGTGAGAAGATTTCTTTCATCTAATATTAAGAGGAAAGAAGTTTTCTTCCATAAAAAAAAAATAGAATTTCTTTGATAACAATAATAATAAAAAATTGTGGGTCTAGAAAAAGTTTGAAGAAAAAAAATTCTTCTACAAAATGCACCAGTCAGAGACTGTATTTGATTGTTGGTTCTAATTGAATTGGAAGAAGCAGATTGATAATATATAAAGTTTTTTCACTTTCATAATAAAAACATATCACAAGATTTTCAAAATACATAATATACACTATAACTTTTTTTTTTTTTTTTTGACTTGAATCTTTTATATATATGATTAACATAAACAATTACAAAGGTGCCTTAGTGCACATATGATGCAAGTGACGCACATATACACTATAAGTCTATAACTTGCATCATCATACTTAATAGTTTTGAAATTTTGATGGAATCACTCTCTTAAAATCAGAACTCCTACGATCAACTAAACTATGTTTTGTTGTTATTCAGTATGGATAAAATTTGAAAGGTTAGTTTTAACAAAGAAACAAGATGCTTTAATAGATTGGATGACGAAGAAAACAAGAGTTTGGATGATGAACACAAGTACTCAGGCCCGACCCATAGCTAAAGCTGGTGAAGCTGGTGCTTTAGGCATCATATGGATATATAATTTTATGGGGCATCAATTTATTGAAGACGGTTATTGGTGTAGTGGTAGAGGTTGATAGAAAAACGTGTCATTAGTGTCAAGTTTGAGTGTTCGAACCCTCCAAAGTCACTAATGTTTTTTATTCAATCAATGCACTTGTTAATGAGCTTCATTTCTGGTTTTGCTTTAGGCAGCTAAACATAACGGGCCGGCCCTGCAAGTACTAATGAATGGACTAATATTGATATGATGATTACGTATTTGTAGTTTAATTATTTAATGCCTCTGTCCTAGTGAACTTGAAAGTTGCTATATTAGGATACACATGGCATGTTAAAGAGCTTTTAATGATCTACTAGACGTGTAAGTATTTGTATGTCTATATAAACATCCATACGTGAACAAGTGACTCTAATTTCCTATCTTTTTATTTCAACTAATTTTTTATCTACTATACTACAAAATATCCTCATTCAGTAACATTTAATATAAGGATCCTAGTCCATATCAAATATATATCTTAATTCAACAATACCGATTATTTGGATTCAAATTATTGTAGTAGAGCCGAAAGATCTTGGAAAAATAAATAAATAGAAGTATAGAACAAGTTGAATTATCATGAAATAAACGAGCAGAACAAACGTAATAAATCTTGAGTAATTTGGAATTTGAAATGATTTACTAATAACTAATTTTAAATTCCTTACTATTCATTTAACACTTTTAATGAGCATCAAATTTTGGTTAGAGTCGTTTGATTAAAAAAGTAATACATAGAACGTTTTTTTCCTAAACTTAATTCAAAATATATGTTACGTTAGAATGTTAATTTACCACCGCGTTCTATTCTTTTCATACCATTTAAGTAACCAATATATTTAACTACAAATTAATAGCTAGAACATACCAATTTTTTTGTACTGCGTAGTCTAAAAAAATTATAAGAAAAAACACGCACGTCACTATTCCAACCTTAGTATAATATAATTGACCTAAACCGAGTATACAAATAAATAAGTGAATAACTCAAATAATCATCTTATTTATACTTAGTGAAATTTTCTTATATGTACTTAGTTCTAAATGTATAAAATTTAAGGAAGTTATTTACAATACGCATTTACATCTATAAGATCTTCAACTCGCAAAAAATTCATCGACATTTGATTTTTAGTTGTTTGTCAATGATTCATCGACATTGTTATATCGAATATTGGAGAGATTATGAATGTGCGGATGAGAGGAGAGTAACGTGTTAATAAAGATACAAAGAGATATTTGAAAGATTTTGCAACCACAATTGTAGAGACTAAAACCAGAGGATCCATTATATGTTTTGAGTTACCTATCTATTAAATGCGTAAAGGAGGATAAAGGACACACCACACGTGCGAAAAAAGGAGGTTCCAAACGTGATCGATGGTTGTGCATACAGCATACGTGTGAGTTAGGGGTGGGATTCACGTGAGAGATTCACCCGACCAAAAACTATTTTTTTCGAAAAACAAATTTTAGTTTTCAAAAATAATAATAATTCGAAAAGAGAGAGAGATTCTGGTAGGAGGGAAGAAGGTTGGGCTGTCAACTGTAAATCCCATTTTGCAGTTAGGAAAAAATATGTGAAAATTAAAATCATAAAGTATATTTGGAGAATTTTACTTCTTTCTTTGTTTTCTCTTTTAATTTTCTGCTATTTCAAGGACGTGAGCTATGAAAATAAGATTTTAGGTGGGTGGAGAAAGTTGCGCAAAAAAAAAAAGTGGCTGGTGAAATATTTCTAATTTTGATTATATACAAACTTAAATTTTGATTTAGAGTCATTTAAATTTTGTAGATATATTTAAAGTGGGGAGGCGGTGGAAATAGCAGAAAGTTTCAATTATTAAATAGCTGAATTGGTAGAAATAAACAAACAGTTTTGAATTCAGGAAATAGTCCAATTTCTTATAGGCAACTAAAAATAAACTAAATTATCCTTAGTAAAAAATAATATTGAGAAACCACTTGAATAATTTAGATTAAGTAAATAGTTTAAACAAAATTTTGGGTGCTACAAAATTATTGATTTGGTATCTGATTCTGACATGATAGATTCCAACATAGAGTCTCCTTAGATATATATATATATACAAGTGGGCTTTTCACTTTTGCTTTCGAGCCTTCCATTAATTATTTATCCCAATGTGGATTTATAACCTACATAGCACATATCCAACATGTCTCTCTAACTGTTTGTGTGATGGATATGCACGTCAAATCGATTTTGGAAAAATATTATTTTTATTTAATATACCTAGTATAATGATCGTTAATTTTAACAGAAAATAATTGTGTTTGTATCTATACAACGTCATTATAATTTATGGTTGGAATTAAATTTATAAGTATGTCCTTGTGAACGAATTAGAATTTTTTTTTTTTTAAAAAAAGCCTATACAGAAAACCAATATTCTAAAAAACGATATAAGCGATCGTCTAAACCGTAATTAGGCGCTAAAAGTTCATGTGACGTCTATATGACCTTTTCGACCGCCTAAAATAGCATAAATATAATTTTAGTGTTTTTTTTTTAATTTCCAACTACATAGGTTTAAATCTATAAGTTTTACCTCGATATACATGGTTATAACCGTTCATATGTTGTTTGATATAAATTAAAAAATATTTTTGTCTGAGTTTTGTTTATGGTTTAATTATTATTTTTTAATATATAGTTTATATGATTTTTATCTATAATATCATATTTATGATATTTTATGTTGTAAACGTTTTAGACGCTAGGCGATGGGTTACCGCCTGCTTCGCGTCTAGCACTTTTTTGAACACTGACGTAAAATTATGGTACGTCCGCAAAAGAATATCACACAATGTAAAATATTAACGAATATCCTTTAAAGAAAATGCAAAAAATTAAGATAACAAATGAAGGTTTCATATAATAGAAGTTTTCTATACTTAATCTTAATTTAAAATCAAAATATATAGTTAAGTAATTAATTAATAAAAGAGATAATTAACCGCAATTTTTTCTAATAAAAGATATTCTATTTAAAGCATGCAAAATAATATCTTTAGCATGTCCTAGAGCCCAATTTCAAATGAAATACCCCATTACACAATGTGAAAAAAAACTCTACAGTGAGAAGCGCAAAAGGAAGTAAACCGCATAACAGCAAAAGTATAAGTCACACTACAAGAAATGAAGGTATTAATAGCAGTATAGTATAACGTTTTTAACGGTTCTGCTATAGTTGAGTTTTAGAAAAATTTACATAGCGTTTTCGAAAAGGCAAACGCTATGATAGAATCACTACAAAAAAAATCCATATTGATAGCACTAGACGATAGCGCATTTTCATGAACTGCTATAATAGATGAGCTCGTGATTTTGGTTACTTTTTAATAGCACCTGATAAATGCTAAGACCGAAAATCTTTAAGCGGGAAACAAAAATGACCTATTCTGCCAACACTTAGTAAAATTACTCACTTAAGCCGCCAGTGAGCTCAAATCGATTAATCCTTTATTCACTCTCACATATGGATTCTCCTCATCGTCTTCTCCGTCGTGCATCTCTCCTCCTTCGTTGACACTTGCAACTCCAGCTCTTCATTTCACCTTCACATCTTCTTCTTCTTTAGATCTCTCATCTCATTTTCCTTCCTCTCATTCTTCTACTTCGTCTTTTCCTTTTCTCGCTTCCTTTGTTTCTTTCTATCTCTCTCTCTCTCTCTCTAGCTTCTTCCGTCACTTTTACTTATCATTACCCTAATTTTGCAAGGCGTATCAATTGAAATTGAAAAGTTGGTTAAAAACTCTAATTATCCCCTTCGTTCTCAGTTCTTTCAATCTTCAATTTCATAAAACCCTAATTTTTAACCTGTTTGTTTTTGGGATATTGGATTTGTCTAGGTTTTGGAATTGGTTGGAAACGCAGCGAGGGATAACAAGAAGACTAGGTTGGTGCCACGTCACATTAATCTTGCGGTGTGGAACGATGATGAGCCGAGCAAGTTGCAAAGGTTTGATTTTAGCCTAATTTTGTTAAGACGAAATTCAAACCTTTTTGGAGATTTGTGTTCTACCTCATGGAGAAGGTATTGTAATAAATCTTAGGGGTTCTGTTTTAGAGTTCTTTGTGCACACAAGGTTTTCGACGATTTGACTGTGAGACGGAAACCAAGAATATTAAAGTAACTAACTTGGATTTGGTTCAATTTTCGCTAAGGAAGAATGTTGGTGGCTGAGAGATGGAGATTCAACAGAGGAAAAGCCAGGTTCGTGCATTTAGTCATTTTGATTGTTTCGTGATTTGTCTTTCTTAGTGTGACAATCTCTTTAAGACTCTACGTAAAAGAAAATGTCTTTTTCAATTGTGAAAAAGGTTATGACGTATAGGCTATGCAACTTTTTCAATGTTCGATCTTTTAATTCAGGCTATTCATGGTAAAAAAACTTCTACAAGATGGAACTTGGAGTAAAAGTATGTATACTCTTGAACTCTAATGACAAAGAAGTCGGAAACATAAGCTTTAAGTTGATGATGATACACATGATTACAGGGAATATAGATAAAGTTTTATCATTATGCTTAAATATGTAAGTACTTGATTTGGGTTTTATGATTATCACCAAAGTTTTATCATTATGCTAAATTTTGAAATTTTTTAATTATCTATAAATTGACTTTCATCGGTGATAAACAAGAGTGCTAATTGTTTTAGTGTTCAATGTGATATTTTGCAAATGATCAAAAGGTGACCAGAGACCAGTAAATTAGATGACCTTGACTTAACACGAGACGAGCTACATAAGAAAGAGATTCTCAAGAAACTCATGTATGAGGTAAACTTTGCATCCTCCTATAGCATCTCTATCTTCAATTCTTATCACATTGTTGTCTTGTCTAAGAATGTGAGGCTATAAAGTAGGAAACATGGAACACTAAGATACATCATACATGTGATATATGTGACTAAGATTATTCAACATTTTTGATGTATTGCTTGATTAGCTGTTGATTGTTTTCACTTATGTAATGAGCTTTGGAGTTTTGTTCAGTTGGAGACCTTAATCATCTCATTTATGCAACCCTGATAGATGCAGTTCTTGGAGACCTTAATCAACTTGAGCATGGGGAGAGGAACATGAGAAAGCTAGTTAGGCTTCAAGAAGTTCGTCTCTTTCCTTCACCTCTAAAAGTTGCTTGCTTTTACTATTTTAAGCTAGCTGGCCTCAGGAAGTTTGTCTCTATCTTTGTTAGTTTTATTTTGTTTTAATACTTGGTAGCACTTACGATATTAGTATAGGATTTGTATTAATCTATTAATCTTTGTACTTTTACTTTTAAAATTTTGTATTTATACTTTGTAATAAACTATTGGTATTATGATTTCATATAATATAATAAAATATTGAAATTTTAATATGTCAATTTATCCAAAAAACCTAATAAATTAAAATTAAATATAATAAAAAAATTGATAAATCGAAATAATGTATAATACAAATGCTATTTTAGTGGAATAAAATTTTTTTTTCGGACATTGTTGTAAATTCCTAAATTAATTGTTTGATATAAAATTTTTTTTTTAATTATACTGGAATTTTAGCTTTACACTAAAAGGATATGAGAGATGCATAGTATAAGCTAATTGAATAAGTACGTACATGAAAAAGTAGTCTTAAATGACATAGGTGTCCCTAAAAAACAAAGACACACAATTCACACAAAAAAGGTAAACAACAAAGACACACAAAATCAAAAGAATAACTTAGAGGACATCATGGGAATATTATATTAGTATTTACTTTGTCAAATAAGCATATTATTTTATTTTTATTTTTGGCTCAAAATGAGAATATTATTGAAGCACAAAGATATGTGGAAGTATTTATGGTGGTGGTTTGGTTCATTGAGATATGACCTTTGGACTCACCTTATCTTCGCATTCTTTTTAGTTTGCTTTCATAAATTAGTTTCCAAATTAACTCCTTTAAAAATGTTGATATCAGCCGACATTTCCGTGATAAAAAAGTTTTTTTTTTCATTTATAGATAAATAACATATCGTTGACAAAAAAAAAAAAAGAAAACAGGGATAATTTCGTAATTTCTGTATGTATATAAGTTTTGTCTCTTTTTTTTTTTTTTTCATCATAAGTTTTGTCTTTCTTCCTCATCGTTATTGATATGGAATGGAAACCTTTGCCGATTAAAATTAAAAAGAAGAAGTTATATAAACACCTCATTTAAAAAATATAAAAATGATAAATCAAGATTTTAAAAATAACAAATAAATAATAAAGAAGATTGGTGGGTTAAAAAGGGAGGCGATGAAGAAAGAACAGCGACCTCTTCTTCTCTCTTCTCTCTTCCTTTCTCTTTGGGAGAGATTTTTATATAAGTTTTTGGTTTTCCAGAATTTGCTGAATAAAAACTCTCACTAACACAGAAAAATAAAATAAAAGAGAACTCAAGAAAAAGAAAGCTAGAGAGAGAGATATAGAAGAAAACGATAGCTATAAGCTCATCATCAATCTTCTCTTTCTTTAATTCTCTGCAACTCCAAGGTACTTCCTCTCTCTCTCTATACCATATATGTAGATGATGACCGAAGCTGAAAGTGAAAACCTTAAAAGAGTTACAAGAAAGAGATTGGAGAAGAAAGAAAAAAACTGTATAATACCTAGTTGACTCCTCTCTCTCTCTCTCTCTCTCTCTTTCTTTTTCTTAATTTTTTTGTATTTTTTGTGTTATATAAGATTTTCTGTGTATGTCTGAATCCTTACAGGATCCAAGAGGTTTGGAAAGAGAGAGAGATATATAATGAATAACAAGAATCAAGAATTGATATGGGTTTAGCAACTACAACTTCTCATCACAAGATTCATCATAATTCAGATTCTTCTATGTCACAAGATTATCATCATCACCAAGGAATCTTTTCCTTCTCCAATGGATTCCATCGAGCATCATCAACCACTCATCAAGAGGAAGTAGATGAATCAGCCGTCTCCGGTGCTCAAATTCCGGTTTATGAAACCGCCGGAATGTTGTCTGAAATGTTTGCTTACCCTGGAGGCGGTGGCGGCGGCTCTGGTGGAGAGATTCTTGATCAGTCTACAAAACAACTACTAGAGCAACAAAACCGTCACAACAACTCTACTCTTCATATGTTACTACCAAACCATCATCATCAACAAGGTTTTGCTTTCACCGACGAAAACACTATGCAGCCGCAGCAACAACAACATCACTTCTCATGGCCATCTTCCTCCGATCATCATCACAACCGAGATATGATCGGGACCGTCCACGTGGAAGGAGGAAAGGGTTTATCTTTATCTCTCTCATCTTCATTAGCCGCAGCTAAAGCCGAGGAATATAGAAGCATTTATTGTGCAGCCGTTGATGGAACTTCTTCTTCTTCTAACGCATCGGCTCATCATCACCAATTCAATCAGTTCAAGAATCTTCTTCTTGAGAATTCTTCTTCTCATCATCATCATCAAGTTGTGGGACATTTCGGGTCATCGTCATCATCTCCCATGGCGGCTTCTTCATCCACTGGAGGGATCTATACGTTGAGGAATTCAAAATATACGAAACCGGCACAAGAGTTGTTGGAAGAGTTTTGTAGTGTTGGAAGAGGACATTTCAAGAAGAACAAACTTAGTAGGAACAACTCAAACCCTAATACTACCGGTGGAGGAGGAGGCGGCGGATCGTCGTCTTCAGCCGGAACAGCCAATGATAATCCTCCTTTGTCTCCGGCTGATCGGATTGAACATCAAAGAAGAAAGGTCAAGCTACTCTCTATGCTTGAAGAGGTAACAACGTTTTCACATTTATTTTTCTCTAACCAAACTTTTAATGAACCGTTCTAATATGATTGAATTGATCAAGTAACCAATTCCATATCAATCGCTAGAAAATTGATTTTTCTTCGTGATATTTTTTTTTCTTATACAATTAATTTGAATCAACCAATATTTCAAAAACTATATATATATGATATTTTAAATTTTAATGTATTGAGAAAGACCGACTGGTACAAGAGCACGACACATGCTCTAGTTGGTAAAGCCTGATTACGCAATCCTACCATCACTTATATAATTTTTCTAACTAATATCATTATACTGGTGTTATGGTCTAATTTGATATATTAATGCATATTTTGTGTCACGCGTTTGGTGGCATCGCTTAATCAAATTTAACATAAGAAATTAAATTATGATTGGTTAAGTGATTTAGTCTTCACAACCACAAATTTTAAATTAGAGCTTCCTTCTCCATATAAGCTAGCCACCTTTCCCTACGTAACCAAAACTAGTCCTTGAAGTTACTTCATTATTTATCTTACAATTTAGTTTGTAGTTGACATTATCTTATCTCAAGAATTTAGTATATGATGTTCCAAGATACCATAAATTGTTAATAAGAGAAGAAAACACATTGAACTATTGAAGTATGTATGTATAAATAATATCTAAACGAAATAATCTTTTGATAGGTTTGTATTTTATTTTGAAAATTGGGCTGATAACAACAAAACAAAAATTCATCAATGTATATATAGTTAATTTCCTTAAAATTTAATTTGTAGGTAGACCGACGGTACAACCACTACTGCGAACAAATGCAAATGGTAGTGAACTCATTCGACCAAGTAATGGGTTACGGCGCGGCGGTTCCGTACACAACATTAGCTCAAAAGGCAATGTCTAGGCACTTCCGGTGTTTGAAAGACGCGGTAGCGGTTCAGCTTAAACGCAGTTGTGAGCTTCTAGGGGATAAAGAGGCGGGAGGGGCTGCGTCCTCGGGCTTAACCAAAGGCGAAACGCCGCGATTGCGTTTGCTAGAGCAGAGTTTACGTCAGCAACGAGCGTTTCATCATATGGGTATGATGGAGCAAGAGGCATGGAGACCGCAACGTGGTTTGCCTGAACGCTCCGTTAATATCCTTAGAGCTTGGCTTTTCGAACATTTTCTTAATCCGTAAGTCCATTTTCTCATCCCTTAATAATCAATAATACTTACCTACTCTTATTCTCCGATACAAATATAATTAATCTTCTTGAATATTGACCATATATTATAAAATGTGGACTACTACTAGCTAGTATGCATTGATACCAAGACTTTAACTGATTGATTATATGTTTATTAAAATTAATTTATGAAAGTGACAAATTGTTTTTTCTTTCTTCAAACTGACTTGGGTATTGCGGGAAGAATATTTGATTTTCAAATTTTCAGTAAAAATTAAAAGTTGCTGATTTTTGAAAACCAAAATAAAAAAGTAAGTGCTATTTCTTCAGTGAGTTTGATTATTTTTTTTTTATGTTTATTTCTACTAATCAAAATTCAAATATCAATCTTTTTTTCCTTGATGCTACCAATTGAGAGTCCAAATTAACAAGGGTAACAACGCATTGACCTTGAGACTTTCAAGAAAATTGTTTGTTTATGTTTCTATAAATGTAGGTTGTTTTGCATGGCAAAAGGGTTTAGATAATTAATGCAACAAAAGAAGTTTGCAGAGTGAGATCACAAACTTTTATGCTTTGGGATCATAATAGCATCCTAAGGATTTCTCTGTCTCTGCCTAACCTTTCCTTTATAGTTTTTCTTTCTTTAATTTGCTTTAATTCATGAGATTATTGTTTAAAATGCCATTTTTTTGGAAAAACTTACGAAAATGCCATTTTTTGAATAGTTTACGGATTTTGCCATTTTTTAACACTTAAAAATGTACGTATTTATGATTTTTTTTGTAAAAATACGTACTTTATACCAAATACTAAACCCTAAGAACAAATGGAACAGACTAAATCCAAACATAACGAGTGAAACGCATGTTAAATCATATTTTTGGAGCTTGAAAAAGGGCAAAATCCACAAACTATTCAAAAAGGGGCAAAATCCACAAATGCCATTATAAAAAATGGCAAAATCTGTAATTAATTCATAATTCATTCCACATACTATTATCAAAAGAAGTAACAATGCCATTAACATAACTACAAAAATAGGTCTCAGATTTGTCAGTGGTGCAGTGTCATTGGTATATTGCCTATTAAGAAAGACAAAAATAAAAAAGAGGGAAAAAAAAAACTAAAAAGCTGAAAAAAGCAATTTCCTCTTTCATTATTCATCAGTACTTTCTCTATTTAATGTCTGCAGAATTTTACTATTTTGTTGTTAGTGAAGTAAAGAAGAGAAGAGTTGTACAGATAAATATTTTGCTTTATGATGAAAAATAAGTGAAGATACAAAAATAAAATCAAATGCTTCTTCTATTCTGAGATCAGCTTTTTCTTTTGTCCCTTAGATTCTCACGCCCTTGTAAGAAGAAAGTTTGTACCTTTTCTTGCATCTACTTGATTGTGTTTTTCCTCTCTCTCTAAACAAAAAAGAAAAATAATTATTGGGTTTAGGGTTCTAAAGATTGTGAAGTCATTTTCTGGTCTCTTTCTCAGGTACCCAAGCGATGCTGATAAGCACCTCTTAGCACGACAGACTGGTCTATCCAGAAATCAGGTCAGCCTTTATCTATCTATAATATATAAATATATATGTTGTTGGATATAATATGAGTTTTTATACTGATCATACAAGAACCCTTTTTAATTACTCATTTACATATATGTACTTAATTAACAATTTACCATATATATCAATCATTTCATCATGCAAAATCTGACATGAGTGGCTTCATGTCTATTCTCTTGCATGGGTTTTGAATATCATGAAATCATTTTTTTCTTGGGGTTCGTTTTCTTCATTAAATACATTATCTACACTTACAATACACATGCAGTATACAAAACATAGGAGAGAGAGACGTAAATACTTAACCCAAAGACAGTAGTATTTCTCAAGTACATGAAAGTATGAAACTTTCATTTCAATTTTAACTATCAGATCTCAAAGTCTTGTACCCAGTAATTATTTACATCACAGCTACTGTAGTACTATAATACACTCTTGGCTCAAATATCCACTATATTTTTTCATTTCAAATTATTGTTTTAAAATTACTTTTTGTTTTAATATAAATGTTGTTTTAGATTTTTATCTAAAATTTTCATCAAAATACATAATTTAACATCAAATAAAAATTAATTATTTTTGTAGGACTATAATTAAAATTTTAATATGTACCTTAATTCTATTAGATGTCTCAAAGGGAAAACATGTTTCATAATTTGTGCTCCCTTAGCCAAAAATTTTTTATTTCATTTGTTTAACCTAATTTTCTTTACAATAAATGACTAATTCTTTTATAGTTGCATTGATACTTAATACTTATGAAATAAATGAAGTATAAAAAATATCAAAACGATATAATGTAAAAAGGAGTATTTCACATTTCCTAAATAAGTTCTTTTTTCCTTCTAAAAATTAAAAAATTCTTTAAATAATCTATTTAAAACTTGCTTAAAAAGTAATTATCTTGGTTAACATTGGTCCATATTTATCGTTTTTTCAGGTGTCAAATTGGTTCATTAATGCTAGGGTTCGTCTATGGAAACCAATGGTAGAAGAGATGTATCAACAAGAAGCAAAAGAAAGAGAAGAAGAAGCAGAAGAAAATGAAAATCAACAACAAAGAAGACAGCAACAAACAAACAACAACGACACGAAACCCAACAACAATGAAAACAACTTCACTGTCATAACCGCACAAACTCCAACGACGATGACATCGACACATCACGAAAACGACTCTTCATTCCTCTCTTCCGTCGCCGCCGCTTCTCACGGCGGTTCAGACGCGTTCACCGTCGCCACGTGTCAGCAAGACGTCAGTGACTTCCACGTCGACGGAGATGGTGTGAACGTCATAAGATTCGGGACCAAACAGACTGGTGACGTGTCTCTTACGCTTGGTCTACGCCACTCTGGCAATATTCCTGATAAGAACACTTCTTTCTCCGTTAGAGACTTTGGAGATTTTTAGTCTTCTTCGTTTCTCAATATATTAATCAAAATTTTATTATAGTGAATTTTTCTTTTTTTTTTGGTTCATCGAAAATATGTTTTTAGTCTCTTCACATACTTTTAAATTTTCCTTTTTTCTGTCTTTTCTGTCGTAAGAAGAAGAGAGATACATATATCAAGTGATATCCTATAGCTACCAAAGTTCTATATATAACTATGCACAAATTTTTATTTTATTATTTATGAGATTGATATCCTCACATTTTGTAAAGTTTTGTTCATATTAATACCCCTACCAAATTTCTGTAATTTTTGTTTTAGATAATGTAGATATTTTTTTGAAATTATAATTGTGTGTGGCACTTATTGGATTCTTCCATTTGTTTTTACTAATGAACGACAACATGGTCTAAGGAAAGCGCCAATGATCAATTAAAGTCGCATCACTTTGCTTGTTTAATCAAATTAATCATCTCAACTAATCCCTACTTACTACAACTATGAGCTCCTTAATTTAGTAATGGCAACAAATTATATTTGCTAATTGCTACACTTAATCGACTTATTAACAAAAAAATAGTTTAAACGTGATATTTTTGTTTAAAAAGAAAATAAATCTTGTTCCATTAATGATATTTTAAAGTTTTATTTTCTCCAACAAAACAATTTCCCTAAAACTCCATAGGTTTGGTTACATGTCATATTGGGGATATGTCAATCGAGACGTAGACGTTTTCATTCGCACAAATGGACATTAAGCTCATTGCCATGGTGCTACTCATTACTTTCTTTTTTGTAATAGGATTCATTACTTGATTTGTTTACAAAGGGTTTTCTTAAAAGTCACTCAATAATTTTAGTAAACAATAATATATACGTTTCACCTAATTCCTTACAAATAATGAATTTCTATTCTAAGTATTTATATACTCTATTAGGAGAATATAATGACCCTATAATTGGCAATATAATTCTTTTTTTGGTTTGACATTTCACGTTTTAATAGATGTACCCGGAACAGTAGATAGGGAGCATCATACTTTCAAGTTAATTTATCTCCACCGGTTCATATAGGTAATCAAAATTATAAACAAGATTATAAACTACACTCAAACAAAATGATTTTGTGAATCTATTTCCGTCTTATATTTTTATGACTAAATAAAGGTGCAGCCTGATCTTATAAAATCATAAATGCATATGATATTAATTTACTCAATACATTTATTTCAAACTTAGTGGTCCATTTTTTAACCCTTCTTGTCTGATCACTGTCCTTTAGCTACCATACTCTTTAAAAAGTATATTTAAAATAGAAATTTATATGCTGATTTATTTCATTATTATTTTTTGGCTGGTATACGAAAACACAGATTTTATTTTGTCCTTTGTTATAGGAAAAAAAGAAAAGAAAAAAGAAAACTAAATGCAGATCTGAACGTGACAAGAAAATCAATATGCATGAGTGTTAGATTCTTGATTTTAATATTGGAGGCCCTGCCTTTTAATGATCCATACGCAAGCGTATTATATTATTTGCTGTCAAATTCATTGACAGTCTCTGTGTCAATGTCATGTTTATAATTTGTTTTGCATGGTTTTAGCACGCATGATGGAACTTTCTGTGCCATGCATACATAACAACATTTCAACAATATCTTTTCAAATTTTTATGTTTTCTCATGCGAGTTAATATAAGTGGTTAAGCTGGCCTCGCAAAATTTGGGTTCGTGTCAACTTTGAACACACTATAATTTCCGCGTATACTAAGAAAGCTAGTATTTGTTAAATAACGCAATTGGATTGTTTCTTTTTAAAATAAGAAGTATAGTCTGGTTATCTAGCAAAAAAAAAAAAAAAAAAAAATAGTGATCTGATGATTTCCCAAAATAATCATTCTGTTTTTATTTTTTAATGAATTATTTTTTAAAATTTCTTAACTGTAAAACAATTAATTTTAAAAATATTGTTAGTATTTTTGTTAAATTAAATATTCATATATATACATTTGCTTCTTCTTCTATGCTTAATATATCATGTACAGAAATGATTCAATTAATATTTCATAGAGAATATACACTAGATTGCAAATTCTAACCTATTATTTTCAAAAACGACGAATGACAAAATTATATATAAATAAGTTAGATCATTTATCACATATGTTGTTTATTAATATATATATAATCTTGCGCAGATTTTAACAAGGGATTATTGTTGATTTTGCCATTTTTTATAGAAATCTTTTGAAATTGCCATTTTTAATAAAATCTTACGGATATGCCATTTTTAATATTTAAAAATGTACGTATTTCGGTTTTTTTTTGGTAAAAATACGTAGTTTATACAAAATACTAAACTCTAAGAACAACCACAACCGACTAAACCCAAACATAACGAATAAAACGCATGTTAAATCATATTTTCGTAGACTGAAAAAGGACAAAATCCATAAACTATTCAAAAAGGGGCAAAATCCACAAATGCCATCCAAAAAAATGGCAAATCCATAATTGATTCTTTTAACAAATATCATGTTATTATTCCTTGTGATATAATATTTTACATGATGTCACATTTTTATTTTTTTCAATAAAACGCCAAATAAAAAGACATCTTTTATATATTGTTTTTGTACCACATATCTTATTATCAACTTTAGCCAAAATTTTGGCTATCTAGCAGTTAATTCCAACTAACTTCACTAAGCGCACTCCCATGTCTCTGCCCTATATATTAAAGAAATTATACAGAGAAGTTAACTGGGGTTAGACACTTAGAGCATCAGCAGTGGTACAAGCAGGTGGGTGTGAGTCTTGGGGTGTAGGTATTAAAAAAAACCAAAAAATTGTCTCTCTCTTCACACCCGGGTGTAAGTTTACACTCGGGTGTAACACTTTTTCTCTCTATCTCTCTCTTTCTTTCTCTTTTTCTTTTCTCTTTTGCTTTAAATTATAATACTAAAAAAATATTTACACTCACACAAACACATTTGCCACTGCTGATGGTCTTAGAGAATAGAAATTTTTTTTGGAAAAGAAGTAAAATTGTTATAAGAGAAAAAGCTTCAAATTTTTTATTTAGAATGATATTTGAACGATGACAAGTGGTTAGTATTTGTTTGTGATCCTTTCTTTAATCTATGGATCCAATCTCTAATGATTTAGAACCTATTTCACCACTAAATTAGGTTAAAATATGTCTTCGAACTTAACGCTTTCGCATAAATATCTTACCCTTTTTTTTCTTATAGATATCTTTTCAGTTTTGAAAACTTAATTTTATATTGTGATAGAATTGCAATGCTTGAATTGAATGGAGTAGAAGAAGAAGAAATCAACTTTGGGGGGTCCTAAGATTTTCTCCGGTCTAAGAATTAGAAGAGAGGTCGGTCCCATTTGAATGGTATTGGGCTTGGGCCCATACCATCACGGAATTTAGCGATCGCCGAATCCGATGGCTACCCCATCAGACACTACCAGACTTTATGACCAAACAGGTCCCCTCACTAAAACCATTAATCAAAATTGTTTAGATATTCGACCTCACAGATACATATTTACATATGAACAAAATTACATATTTAATCAAAGTGTTGGAATTTAGTTTATTTTTCGGAATATTATATTCTGTATAGCGAGCACATGTTAAACATATGGACCCTATAACAGAAGAGTAGAGCCAGGCCCGGCCCTTCACCCATTTTGGTGAATCATTTGTATTGGGCCTCAAATTTCCGAAGCCCATTTTGTGAAGAATTTTTTTTTTTTTTTTTTTTTTGAGGCCCTAAAATTATGAAATAGGCTTCAAAATTAGTAAAAGAGGCCTCAAAAATTAACAAAAAAGCTTCAAAATAGTAAAAGAGGCCTCAAAAATTAACAAAAAAAGACTTCACAATTAGCAAAAAGGCCTCATAATTAGCAAAAAATCTTTAAAATTTAAGAAAAATTGTTAAATAAAAATTATAAATGCCCCATAATTAGCAAAAAAATTTTTTTTAGCAGTTTCTACTTTTAAAAAAAACCCCAATTTTTTTTTTCGTATTTGGCCCCGGATTTCACCGGACCGGCACTGAGTAGAGCTATGATTGTAAATATGGTTTCGTCATTTAGACATTTATACATTTTACATTGGTTATCTATGAATGAGATCACAATGAAGATATACGAAACATGATTCCTCAATTCAGAAAATAAAATTTATAATTATTAGACTTGGATATATTGGTTGTTTTCTAAATTGATTGATGAACCATTGATTCATATCTATCTTTTTGAATTATCTTTTTCTTTAACTCTTTTTGGGTAGTGTTACCATAGGAAGTTAGGAACACAAACAACACTGATCAAAAATATTAAAGGAGTATATTTAACCTAATTAACGTGAATAATCTATTAAAACATACTTATTTTAATATATATTTTTTTTTTGAATGTAATGTTAAATTATATTCAAAAAAAAATAACAGTTTTTGGGTACATAGTTATGCAAATGTGTGCTGAAAAGCTTAAAAACTAGGGATACATGGATTTGGACTTAGTGTCTTGATGCAAACCAAGCTTGTAGGCTTGAGTTGAATCTTTGATCGCCCGCCGCCCGAATCGCAGAGAGTTTGTTACGAATCTGTTTCTCAATCCAGATTGCAAGCTGTGTCGCTGAAGTCGGATGCTCGCCATGCCTCCTCCCATTGCGCTCTCTCCATATAGAGTGGATTGCTATTTGAAAACTGTAACGTACGAAGAAGGTGTGAATCTTGTCCAGCGGAGGCTTTGAGATGCAGGTGACTATTTCCCGCCAATCCGTAGAGAAGTGACGTTGAAGTAGGGGCAGCATAAGCATTCTCCAGATTTCTGACGAGTAGCTACACGTAAAGAACAGGTGATCCCTTGTCTCCAAGTGGTTTTGGCATAAACACACAAGTAGACATTGAACCCGGGCTCCAAGTCTGCACTCGGTCGCCTGTTGTTAAACGATTCTTCATAGCAAGCCAAGTGCAAAAGGAGTATTTTGGTGTCGCATGAGTGAACCATACTCCTTTGTACCAAGCCACTGTGTTTGATATTGTCCGAGTGTGGTTCCACGTATCCTTGGTAGAGAAGGAGGCTTTGTAGGAATCGCCTTTCCCTTTCCACAAGAATATGTCATCCACTGATAAATCTCTTCCTTGCCATTTCGACTCCAAGGCCTGTTCAATTAGGTTCAGATTTTCCACACGATGTCTTCTTCTTCTCCGATTTCTCCACGCCTCAGCTAAAGTGGCAGTCCTTTGAA